CTTAGGGCTGTCCAGTGTAATTAGCTTCGCAGGCTCTGGGGGCATAGGGCCATTTCTAGTTGGCCTAGATACCTCAAGCTTGGGGGTGATTAAGAAGGGGCGGTATTGTCTCCTACGAGTATCAGACAATAAATTAGGTGGGTTAGGAGTTATGGGTTTCTCAATTGGTAGTTAATTGGTCTGGCCTAGGAGTAAAGGGCAATCTTTTCCCATAACACCAGATCGGCTGAGCATCAGGACAGGAAAACGAGAGGGGAAAATCATATGAAATGGGCATTCTGTGTGCACAGATGGAGTCTTTCCTTTGCTTTCACCAAGAAGAGGTCCACAGGAAGCCTGGCACTCTTGACCTGAGGAAACCCTGAACGGTGTATCTGCAATCCTCTTCAAAAAGAGGTCGCATCCTTCTAAGGACTGGGCAGAAGCTGACCTGGCACTGGAGCAAGATGAGAGGGGTTTGCAGATCTCCACTGCTGCAGTAATTGCTTTCATATAAATACTGTCTTTGGGCATAAGCAGGGATATTGCCAGGGTGTCTAAGCAGCATTTCCAGTGTCCTGGAAGCCTTTAGAAAAGTTATGTTTCAATGGTCTGAAGAAATAAATTTTTTCTTTTTCGAATGACAGGGAGGAGGCATTTTGATGCCAGCGTGGACTGAGGGATCTGTGGATCCACAGTCTTTTCCATGTTGCCTTATTTGAACCGACCTCTGTGTCTGCCTTACCATCTCCCTCTGCTTACCTAGACATTGGGAAACCTAACATCAAGCCTTCTAGAGAGTCTGTGGTTTGGCTCAGCTGCTCTGGTAGGCATTCTGGGGGTTATAAACATTTCCACTTGCTAAGTCAGTTGCCATCTATTTTTGTTATCTTCAGAAGACCTGAGCCCTTTTCTTCACCACCTCCTGTGGCCCCACCCCTCACACCAAGTCCGTGGTGCCTTGAGAGGATCTCCCCACCTGGCCCCAGCCCCACCACGGGACTCCCCCTTGGGATGTGGGGAGCGCAAGCACACCCGGACCGGCGTGGGCTCAGCTCGAGCGCCCAGGGGCATGTACCACCGAGCAAGGGCCCGGGCAGGGCTTTGTGGCGCTGCGGGTCCTGGGGTCCCACCCGGCTTTGGCCTCGGGGCGGAGGCCACATCGGGGAGTCTGGAGGGTTGAGAGAGCGCCCTTTCCGAGGGCCAGGCAGGGTGGCAAAATGCAATCCCCCGCGTGGCCGGGGCAGGATTTGGGGATCGCCTTGCTGCCTGCGCCAAACAGCCTGGCTGGGCTGGAGCGGGGCGAGGCCCCTGCGTCCCTGGGCTTCACGAAAAGGCCCCTAGTGGGAGAGCCGGAGGCAGGCATGGTGGGGGTCGGGAAGCCCCGTTCCCACGCACCCGGTGTGGGTGAGGCGGACCGGCGACGGAGCGGAGGACACGGCGGGGGCCGCGTTGCACAGGCCGCCGGTATGCGCGGGTTGCCCGCACCTGGCCGGGTGCTGGCCCTTTCCGGTTCTGAAAAAAATCTGAATGCGGGACTCCGGGCGGCCGTCTTCTGGCCAGCTTTCCCTAGGGGTCGCGATGGCCTGAAACCCATCCTGCTGAAGGCTCGGCAGGGCAGGCGGAGATCTGGGACCTGGTGGACCGGCGGTTCCGCTTTCGGCCTGCCCTTCTTGCGGCCGGCGCTTTCCCGGCAGGGCCGAGATACCCGCCGGTGCTGCCTCCGCTGGGCGGGTATCTCTCGTCTCTGAAACCAATCTGGACCCCTGGGCTCCGGGAATGCCGATGTCCTGGGCCAAGGCTTTCCGCTGGGTGGGCGATGCCCGGGTACGTTCCGCTCAAAGCAGGCTCTCGGCCTCCTTTGGCTCTCCGGGGTCAAACGAGTCTCCTTCGCCCGTCGCCTCGCTCGGGGCTCTCCGGAGGCCCGTCGCCGGGTGTCGGAGAGCCATCGCCGGGGACGGACGGCTGGCCGGAATTTCCGGAAACCATCGTGGCCAGAGAGAGGGCCGGCGGGGCTCCCGTGCCCCAGTCGGGCCTGTGCCGGGCGGCAGGGTTAGGCCAGGAGCGGGCCCGCGGCCAGCGACCCTTATCAAGCCCACAAGTCCACCCCTTCAGGAAGCGGGAGAGGCCTGGTCAAGCCCGCCTGGAAGGCGGGAACAGGCCAGGGTCTGTGGCCTGGTATGGTGGGAGAAGCCGGAGGGGAGGCGTGGCGGACAGTGAGCGGTGAGGGGGCGGAGCTTCGGCGGGGCTGGCCTTCTCTCGGGCCTCTCCAGGAATTCTGCAGGACTGGAAGCCCCGGCTTCTTGGCCTGGGACCGCTCTTCAGCAGGAGAAGCCAGTCGAGAAGGTGTGGAGCGGGAGGTGGGACTGAACCTCCATGAAGAGTCTTGAGCTTTCCGGGGCCCCTCTCTCCGTGAAGGAGGGGCCCGTGCCCGTGGGTGTCGGCCGTTGCTGGTGATAGGTTCACACACGGCTGGTGTGTGGGATCGCGTTCACTTTCCGCAGAACACAGAGCGAACGCGGAGGCAAAGACCGCATCGGGCCTCAGCCGAGGAGGATGGATTCATGCATCTGCAACATGGGGGGAGGTCTCCACTGTGTGCTCTGGAAACTGCAGGGAGCATGGGCGACGACACCGAGCTGGCCTTCTTGCTTCCCTGGAAGTTTTCTAGGTCCCCCGCAGGCTCGGGGGATCAAACCAGTCAACATATGTCCACGTTTATTTGCTTCCAGTTCCTGGACTTCTATTTCCTTCCAAATATATTAGCATTCTGTGAATTCCTGATAACTTCTTGGTGATTATTGTCTGCATTAAGTTTAAAGTAAATTATTTTTCTGAAAAGCATAAAATCCATAGGTTGGCTTTATGGATTGAAATATTTACAAGATTTCTATGGCATCTATACCACCTCATGCGAAATCAGTTTTTTTTCATTTTGAAACACCCCTTCCATCAATAGACCATATTGGGTAATAATTTGTTTTACATGCATTACTTTTATCATTAGAAATTATATATATTATGTAACGTATTTGAAATACTGCAATGCAATAATAATATATGATTCAGAAGTATTGGTTTTCTTAACATAACCTAATATGAGTCAAAATTACTGTTACCTGAATTCAGATCTTGCTTCAATTGCCATTCTGTCTCAATCTAGACTTCCCCAATCCATAAAAGATATCAGTTGTATTTTTTAATTTATTATTTATTGAATGGGTTTTTACGTCATAACGTTTTTTGGAATTTATGACATTTTCATAAATATGCATCTGATGAGCCCTGCTAAGTATTCCTGTTGTTTAGAACATCAGATTATTTCCTGGCACAATTCATGGGTTGGCAAATGGATATTTAATTAAAATGTATGATTGCCAGCACACATTGTATTGTCATACTGTAACTCAGGTTGTTATGCATAACATTTATTAGCTATGAACCCAAGTACCAAATGTGAATGTATAGGACATATCAAAAAGTTAGATTCGTTCACCAGTAGAAAACATAAAAGGGACTAATTTTTCTATCATGTCCCTGTTCATTAGTCTTTAATATGATTTAGGTTTAACAGGAAATGATTGGCATCACTATCATGTTTTCTTCATTTTTTTAATAGTCTGAAGGGCATAAAAATGATGTGCACTATCAGCATGTATTCTTATAGGACTTTTTTTTTTTTTTTGAGGGCGGAGTCTCGCTCTGTCTGCCGGCTGGGTGCAGTGGCAGCGGGATCTCTGACTCTGGCAGCTCACTCCTGCCAGGATCACGCGTATTCTCCTTCCTCAGCCTCCTGAGTAGCTGGGACTTACAGTGCGGCTGCCCACTATTGCCCCGGCTCTAATTTTTTGTATTTTTAGTAGAGACGGGATTTCACCGTGTTAGCCAGGATGGTCTCAATCTCCTGACCTCGCGATCCACCCGCCTTGGCCTCCCAAAGTGCTGGGATTACAGGCGTGAGCCACCGCACCCGGCTTTCATAGACTTTCAACGTTTCTTTTGCTGTATTTTCTGTGCATCTTGGTATGAATATATGGAGACAAGGACAAATGTACATTTAAGTGGCTATATGAATTTTGCTTATGTGGCTAATTGCTTATATGGATGTTGTAAATGACAAGATAAAATAGTAAAGTTTGATAAACTTATCTGTGTCCTATTTAGTTCACTTACTGTATAACTTAATTCAGTCACTAATAATTAGTTTAAAAAGTGTTTTTTAAAAGCTGCAAACCACTCTTTATTACACATTTCTGAATCAGGAAGGGGTAAACTGTGACACAGTTTTCTTGTGCCACTGACTTTTTTGGAGAGAAATGTTCTGCAATAAAATAAGAGTTTCCAAACTCCATTTTTAAAGAAACTTGAGTTTTCTTCTATGATTAACCTTCACTCTCAGTCCCTTTTACCCAAGGAGTGGTTCCTAGGTCATCTTTTGGAAGTTGAGTTTCTGGAAAGTTTTCAGCAAACCTCTCCTGTGCTTTTCCCATTTGTTGTTCCTGTTCTTGTTTTGGAGAAGGTGAGTCTCTCTAATTCAGGGTGGTTTGTCTGTCTCCAATCTGCATGTGTTTGCCGAAGCTGAAGCTGTATCGGAGTTTTTATTCTCCCACCATCGTTCCCTAGGCCTTCTCCTGTTTTCAACACATCTTTTTCAACGTCTTCTGATTTTTGTCGCTACCAGTAATTTCAGAATGAACAGATGCAGGAGCATCATCTCTTTGGAAATTTTCTTCACTTCCAATCTGCTCCTATGTTTTCCAGCTCTATCTTTATATTTTAGATTCTCCAATATCTTATTTTCATAGTCTGTATTCTGTAACCCATATTTTACTCATATATTTTAAAAATCCTTTTCTTCTTTCCAACTCATTTCCTTCTTAGTTAATGTTGTACCAACAAATGATTCATCTTTCTTATCAAGGAAAAGGTGAGCTCTAACTTGCCCTGGTTCACATCTGACACAGCTATCACTGCCAGGGTGCATGTCATAAGATAAGGAGTTTTGATATCCTGATCTTGCTGATTTGACAGTTCAGTCACTCACTTTATTTGGAAGACTAACATCATTAGAGTAGGTCTGACAATAATAATCTGAGATTGACCAAGGAGCAGGGTTCTCTGTGAGTACTTCTACATCAGACTTTCATTACCTCCATTTCTCCCACAGCGGATTGTGTTACTGAGTTCTTCCAGCTGCGTGCGGAGCTCCTGGCGGTGGCTCGTGCCGCTCTGAGCAGCCGTCCTGTGCGAGGCCTGCTTCTCCCGTTCCCGCACCTGCCGCCGGCAGCTCCGCGTTCGCGTTCCAGCTTCTCCGCCTTCCGCCTCTGTTGGGCCCGCTCGGGCTCGGGGAAGAGGAGGGGCGACCACAGCGAAGGCGACGGCGGCGAGGACGGCCCGAGACCGTGAGCTCGGGCGCGAGCCGGCTGCGGCCGCGGAGGGGCTACGCGGGGCAGAAGCGGAGGCCGGCGGAGCCACAGCCACAAGGGCGCGCGGGCAGCCACAGGCAGCCTCCCGGGGCCAGGAGGCCCCGAAGCGCGGAGCCTAACGGGGCTGCGGCAACGAGCAAGGGGACAGCGATGGCCCTGCCCGATCTGCGCGACCTGGAATCCCGGGAACGATGGTTCCTTCCCCAGCCACGGGGACCGCGGGAGGAGCCTCGAAGTCCAGGGACCAGAAGCGCTCCGGCCGTTCTCGAGTGGAGCTGGAAACTATGGCCAAGACTGTTTTATATCGAGTTTCCATGTGGCTAGTTATGACCTGCTGGTTACTCGTATTTTTTTCTCCATTTGTTGAGCTATTATTGACAAATTGAAAAGTGAATTTTTTAGGGTGTACAACAGTGTTTTGAGATGTGTATACGTCTTTAAATTATCTCAGTTAAGCTAGTTAACATATCTATCCCCTCACATAGTTAATACGTTTCTGTGCGTGTGGTGAGAGCACCTGAGATCTACTTTTGTAACAAATTTCAAGTACACAGTATTATTAACTATAGTCACCAATCTGTATATTTGGTCCCCAGCAGTTACTCACCTTATAACTGACGGTGTGCTCCCTTCCATGGTTATCTCCCCACTTTCCCCACTTCCTAGCCCATGGGAACCACCATTCTACTCTGTTTCCATGGCTTTTCTTTTTTTACTTGTTTAGATTTTACATACAAACGAGATCATGCAGTAGTCCTTCTGAATTCAGGTTATTTCACTTAGCATAATGTCTTCAAGATTTATCAGTATTGTAAATGAAAGAATTTCATTTTTTATTAAAGCTGAAATTATATATCTCTCAGTTAATCTATTTATCTGTATCAGAGGAGTGCAGATACCCTTGACGATACTGATTGTATGTCCTTTGGCTACATACTCCCAATTGGGATTATGGTAGTTCTAGCTTAAAAACCGTAAGGAACCTCCATACTGTTTTTCGTAATAGCTGCACCATTTGACATCCTCAGCAACAGTGTACACAAGTATCCTCTTTTTTCTGCACCCTAACTCCTTTTATCTTTTGACTTTTTGATAATAGGTATCCAAACAACACGATAAGGTGATACCTCAATGCGATTTTGATTTTAATTACTCTGATCATTAGTGATGTTGAGCATTTTTTATATACCTGTTGGCCATTTGTATATCTTTGGAAAAATTGCTATGTATATATTTTGCCCAATTATTAAACAGGAAATTGCTTTTAATTCTGCTGTGGGTTCTTCTTTTTAATTAATTAGTATGATACATATTTTGGATAGTAACATATTATCCTACATATGGTTTACAAATATTTTCTTCCATTCCATATAATGCCTTTATATTTTGTTGATTGTTTCCTTTATTGTGCAGAAACTTTTTACTTTGACATAGTTCCACTTGTTCATGTTTGCATTTGTTGACTGTGTTCTTGGGGTGTCAAATCCAAAGCATTATTGCCATGACCAGTGTCAAGGAGGTTTTTCCCCATGTTTTTTTAGAGGATTCATGATTTCAGTTCTTATGTTTGAGTCTTTATTTCATTTCAAATTCATTTTGTGATGGTATGAGAGAAAGTTTTACTTTTTGTCTGTGCATATCTAGTTTTTCCTACACCACTCCTTGGTGTGTTTATCCTTTCTCCATTCTGTGGGATTGGTTGACTGTATATTTTTTAGTTTATTTCTGCGCCCTCTATTCTGTTCTAGTGGTTTTTATGTAGGTACTATACTACTTTGATGACTATAGCTTTGTAATATAGTTTGAAATCAGGAAGTGTGAGGCTTCCAGCCGTTTTGTTCTCAGTAGTTGGCTATTTGAGGTCTTTTGTGGTTCCATACTAATTTTAAAATTGTTGTTCTGCATTTTTAGTAAAATGGCATTAAAATTTGGATAGAAATTTAACTGGATCATTTTGTGTAATATGGATATTTTAACAATATTTTTAGAATCCATGAACATGGTATGTATTTTCCATTTTGTATTCTTCATTTTCTTTCCTCAACATTTTATAGTTTTCAGTATGCAGATCTTTCATATTCTTCGTTAAACTCATTCCTAAGTATTCCATTCTATTTGATAATATTGTAAATGGAATTATCTTTATTCCTTTTTCAGATATTTTGCTGTTACTGTAAAAAAAAAATGCAACTGATGTTCATATGTTAATATTATATCCTGGAAACTTACTGAATTCGTAGGTTAGTTATAATATATATATATTTTTTTCTGGTAAAATGGTGAGTATTCCGAACTCTGGTTAAACTTTAAACTGACAGTTGCTATTATCGTTTCAAAATTATTTAAAATATGACCAGATGGATTCCTGCTTTCCTGAATTCAATGGAATTCAAATCTTCCTATTTAAAATAATCTTGTGTGACTGACCCGGGGATTGGGGACACCCCGTGAGAGCTGGGAGATTTGGTGGAGGGTGGGAGGGAGAAGCGGTCAGAGAGGGGGCTGAGCTGGGGAAGCAGAGAGGGGCTCCGGGGACAGCAGGGAGGAGAGGGGGTCGTGTTGGAGACCCAGTGGGGAGACAGATGGGCCAGAAAAGGAGGAAGGGTGAGAGTGGGCAACAGGACGGCTTCTCGGCACTGCAGGAACTTTGCTGAAACTGCAGGCCCCAGGGAACAGTGCGGGAAGGGCAGAGGGAGTGGAGAGGACCCGGCGGACCCCAAGGACAGTGTGGAGAAAGGGACGTTTCCCGGTTCCTTCGCCTCTGCCCAGCGTTCCTCGGGCATGGCGCCCCCAGGGGCAGGGTAGGGGAGGAGGTGGCTCCCGGCGGCTAGGAGAACTAAGGGGCGCACACGCGCTTCGCAGGGCCGGGGTGACAGGGGGAGCCTGAGACGGCTGCGGATCTCCCTGGCCCCGTGGGTGGGCGCGGGGGCGCCGGCAGGGCCTGCAGGGGGCCCTGGAGGAATCTGCAAGCACCCGCCCCTGCAGCGGGCCTTCCGGGAGACTAGTGTGGACACGCCCTGGACACGCCCTTCCCAGCTGGGACGTGTCTGAGGCTGGAATTTAAGCTGCGGCAGACAGAGAAGCGGCCGGAGGCAGGACTGGAAGAAACCCAAGTGCAAAGTCCAGCCCAAGGGCAGGAAGCAGAAATGCCTGACCTGCGTCAAACTGCGCTGTGAGGATAAGGTTCTGGGCAGGATGGTTCACTGCCCTGCAGAGACGTAGACTCGGCGGGAGCCTGAGGAGCACCACGAGGCCCGGTGCAGCAGGTCGCAGCCGGCGCTGAGGACCCCACGACTGCTGCTTCCGGCGCAGTTCGCCTCCTCCAAGGCCCGGCCCCCAGCGGAGCGCAGCACGGAATCGCATGGCGCCCCCTGGAGCACTGGCGGGGTTACCAGTGGAAGACCGCACCTCCCGGGGGGGGGACCCCAGTATATCCCTAGATAATAAAACTGTTCACTCCCCCACAAAAATAATAATTTTGTCTGGTCTTTGAAAATGTGTATCCTCTGTCTACTGGTCAAAATGCTGCCCATTTATCTATATGGGTAATTAAACTTTTTCATGAAGTTATTTAACATTCTTTTTTATTATGAAACAAAACAGTAAATTTGTTAATGGTTTTAATATCATCTAATATGATTGAAAATATATCAATTTGTCGTTGCCAATGAATCTTTGTGTTATTTATTTTACTCTGTTAGATATTGTGTCCATAAATGTCTAAGTGGCTTAGAATCTAGCCTAACATATTGTATGTGCTAAGTACTAATTCATCAAATTATCTTTCTATACCATTCTTAAAATACTATTTTTTATTTTTATTAAATTTTTTTTTGCCTAATCTAATTATCTATGAACATTATGAGGTCTATTCAGTTTGCCCTCTTGATAAAAGCCGCCAAAGTTTATTTATTTATTTTTTTTGAGACGGAGTCTCCTTCTGTTCCCCAGGCTAGAGTGCAGTGACACAATCTCGGCTCACCACGATCTCCGCTTCCAGGGTTCAAGTGATTCTCCTGCCTCAGCCTCCCGAGTAGCTGGGACTACAGGCGGAACTACAGGCCTGCTCCACCATGCCCAGCTAATTTTTGTATTTTCAGTAGAGACAGGGTTTCACTATATTGGCCAGGCTGGTCTTGAAGTCCTGACCACGTGATCCGCCCGCCTCAGCCTCCCAAAGTGCTGGGATTATAGGCTTGAGTCACAGAGCCAGGCCTTTTTTATCTCTTTATTAATACGTTAGAGAGTATTAATGCAGTTCCCTCACAGAAGCATGTTGCATAGTGATGAAGTATGGGCTTCTGGTGTGACAATCATCTGAATGCTGTTTATTTTCCCTATTATTTTCTCATTCCTAAACCCTGTGCAAACCTCCCATCTTTCTGAGTCTCCAGTATCTATTTTTCCAGTCTCTATATCCAAGTGTATGGGTAATTGAGTTCCCACTTACAAGTGAGAAAATGCAGAATTTGATTTTCTGAGTTTTTTCACTTACAATAATGACCTCCAGTTTTATGCATGTTGTTGCAAAATACATGATTTTATTCTTCATGGCTGAGTGGCATTCCATGGTATAAATGTATAGCACATTTTCCTTATTTGATTATTGATTGATAAATTTAAATTGATTTCATATATTGGCAATTGTGAATAGTGCTGCAATAAACATGTGAGCGTGAGTATTTTCTTTATGTAATAAATTATTTTCCTTTGGGTAGATACCAAGTAGTGGGAGTGCTGAATCAAATGGAAGCTCTATTTTGGTCTTTTTTGAAATCTCCATACTGTTTTCCATAGAGGTTGTAGAAAGTTACATTTCCACAAACAATGTATAAGTGTTTTCTTTTCTCTGTATCCTTGCTGATAGCTCATTTTTCTGCTTTTTAGTAATAGCCATTCTGCATGGTGTAAGTTGGTATCTCATTGTGGTTTTTAATTGGCATTTCTCTGATCATTGGCAATGCTGAGCATCTTTTACATGCTTGTTGACCATCATTGTCTTTTTTTTTTAAAAATGTTCATACTCTTTACTTGCTCTTTAATGGTTACTTGTTTTATTTTTGTTGAGCTGTTTGAGTTCCTCGTATATTCTGGAGATTAGATCTTTGTTACATGCAAAACTTGTAAACATTTATCTCATCCCATAGGTTTTCTGTTCACTGTGTTAATTAGAAAGCTCATTTTCAGGAGCTTTTTAGTTTCATTGAGTTCCTTTTGTCTATTTTTGTTATTGTTACATCTGCTTTGAGATCTTAGTCATAAATTCTTTGTCCAAGTCAATATTCAGAAGAGTTTATTCGAGAGTTTCTTCTAGCATTTTAATGGTTTTAGGTCTTACATTTTAGTCTTTTAATCCATATTGAGTTGATTTTTGTATATGGTGGGACATAGGGATGCCATTCCATACTTCTGCATATGGCAATATAATTTTTCCAGCACACTTTGTTGAATAGGACGTCACTTCTCCAGTGAATGTTTTTGTTGACTTTGTAAAAGATCAGTTGTTTGTAGGTATGTGGCTATATTTCTAGGTTCTCTATTCTGTAATGTTGATGTATGTGTCATTTTATATCAGTACCATGCTGTTCTGGTTACTAAAGCCTTCTAGTATAATTTTAAGTCAGATAACGTAGTATCTCCAGCTTTATTCTCTTTGCTTAGATTTGCTTTGGCTATTCAGGCTCTTTTTGTGGTTCCATGTGAATTTTAGAATTTTTTCTCTAATTTCATAAAAAATAACATTGGCATTTTGGTAGGAATTGCATTTAATATGTAGATTGCTTTGGGTAATAGAGTCATTTTAATGATCACAATTCTTCCAATCCATGAACATGGGATGTTTTTCTCATTTGTGTCAGGTACAATTTCTTTCATCAGTGTTTTGTAGTTTTCCTTGTAGGGACCTTTCATCTCTTTGACTAATTGTATTTCTAAGCATTTTACCTTTTTACCTTTTTTGTAGCTATTGTAAAAGGAAGTGACTTTTTAATTCAGTTCTCAGCTTGATCATCATTAGTGTATAAAAATGCTACTAATTTTTGTGCATTGATTTTTGCATCCTGAAACATTACATTTCTTTATCAAAGTAAGAGTTTTTTTGGTGGTCTTTAGGTTTTTTGTATATTATGGTATTATGTAAGCATCAAAGAGGGACAATTTGACTTTCTCATTACAACCACGTAGATGCTCCCACCAAGACCAACAGACAGAGTCTCTGGGGAGGGCACAGGTGATGGTATTTCTTTAAGCTGGCCATGTCATTATGGCTGGAAGCCTGGGCTGACAGCCACTTAGCTAAGCATTGCCTCTCAAGTTTCTAAGTTCCTTCCTTCCTTCCTTCCTTTCTTTTCTCTTTCTTTCTTTCTTTCGACAGTTTTCACTCATTGTCCAGGCAGGAGTGCCATGGCGCCATCTTGGCTCACTGCAACCTCCGTCTCCCAGGTTTGAGCGATTCTCCAGTCTCAGTCACCTGAGTAGCTAGGATTACAGGCACCAGTCACCACACCTGGCTAATTTTTGTATGTTTTAGTGGAGACATGGTTTGGCCATGTTGCCCAGGCTAGTCTTGAACTCCTGACCTCAGGTGATCTGCCCACTTCAGCCTCCCAAAGTGTTAGGATTACAGGAGTGAGCCACCACGCTCAGCTGCCTCTCAAGTTTCAATGTGTCTATGAATTATTTCCGATTCCAGGCCTCTCTCTTAGTGATGTGATTCTGCCCAGCTGCCTCTCAAGTTTCAATGTGCATATGAATCATTTCCCATTCCAGGCCTCTCTTTTAGTAACGTGATTCTTCAGGTTTGGAAGGGGTCCATGAATTGGCTTCTTTAAAAAGTCTCCTCTTAATGCTGATGTTTCTTCCACTACATCCAATATAGTAGCACTCAGCTAGAGAAAGTAGGCACAGCACAGAGCTCCTGACACCCAATGCTCTTACCACAACACAAATACTTTTGGCCCAAAGTGGAAACAACCAATCACCATTTCCAAAAATGTCATTTTCTGCTGGCTCTTTACAGTTTAGAAAGCCTAGAGAAGGCATCAATGTTTGAGTAAGTCTGCATTTGGAAAACACATACACCTGAGTTAATACAATGTTTATTGAGCACATACCATGTGTTCAGAAGTCTGTCACTGAGCACTGTTCAGGAAACATTGCATGATGTGAGTTAATCCTCAGCACCCTGGGAGTTGGGTGCTAAGTTTTCTGTAATTTTCAGGATTTAAATGAAGGGCCTAGCATTTCTATTTTTTCTTCCATTTTAAAAATTATTTACCTGAAAAATAAAATGTGCAGAATAAAAGCTATATCGACAGATGAGAGGGATAGAGAAAAAAGAGTGAACTGTTCAGAGAGATGTTTTATATTTATATTTACTTTCTTGTGCCTTGTGGAGCAGCCACTGGATTTGCAGGAATGGAAAACAAGTTGCTAGGTGGGATGTCTCTAGAAGGTTTCCTTATGTTGGGTAGGCTGTCCTCGAACTCCTGACCTAAGGTGATCCACCCGCCTTGGCCTCGCAAAGTGCTGGGATTACGGTTGTGAGCCACCATGCCTGGCCAGGCCTGAGTTTTGCCTGAGCATGTCTCTTTCTAAGAAAGTACAGCATATGGCAGTTACAAGGTCTCTTTTATCTAAAATAAATAGAATTTAATAAATAAAAATTTAAAAATTTTACTTGAGATTAAAGGACAAATCAGAACATGTATGTAATGTGTTGTCTGTAGAAGTATATTTTAACAATGACATAAATTATTAATAGCCAATAAATGTTATAATAATTTATTAACTAAAACGAACAAAATTCCTATTATGATATCTATGAAAATACTTTCTTAGAGTAAAATATTCTCATATCTTGAGAGGGCACTGGTTAAAAACAGCAAAGATTTGCATGTCGATGTCTTATCAAGTAAGTAGCAGACCCCTCTTCACACCTTTACAGAGTCATCCAAAAAGCAGTAATTTACACAAGAGCAGACAATTTTCCTAGCTTTCTATTGAGGTTATATGTTAATGTTGTTACAGAATTTAACTCAATTTTCTTATAAAATTACCTGACCAAATTTTATATGATATTATGATATCACAATATATCAAAATTTATTTAGATGTCAAATAAATTTTATATATTATAATATTATAATACATAATGATATTATGATAAGTTCCATTTAGATTCAGATGATTTCACTAGGCAGTGTCTATCGACCACTAATATTTTTTTTGGTTCCACTATTTGCACAGACAGCACAGCTGGGAAAACACAGACTCACCCAACACAGTCTCTTCCCTGGTTCTTTCTCCTCCTCAGGGAATCAGCTCATCAGTCAATCAAGTCATCTGGGACTGGAGGCTGAGTACTCCCTAACACAGAAGGTCTCATTCCTGCATGCTTTCCTCAGCAGATGGGGAGACAAGAAGGTCCTTTCAGGAAACACTTGCTGGGACATGAACTAACCCTTCTGTAGTCTGAGGGTTCTGACCAGCAGAGACAGACTCCACCGCAGTAGGAAGGGATGAGGCTGCTGTTCTGAACCTGGAGCTCCCCCACACCTTGTCCCATCTCACTGAGGCAATTTTGAGAGGCCGCCCTGGAATATGTCTTGATGGTGGATGTTGAGAAACAACGTGGGTTTGATGGGATTCAGGTGGTGTATGCTGTGTAAAGACAGGAGCTGAATGCTCAGAATAAATTCCACAGAACACAAATTCCACAGAACACAATGGCGCTTCCAGGATGACTGAGGAAGGGTGAGAAAGGGGGAACGGTTTTCTACCTAGACTTTTTGCTACCTCAGTAATCAGGGGCTGATTAGGTTAGCACTGGCTCAACCTAATCAATTCAATTTTATTGCATTTGGTCTAATTATCTTCCCCATTTTTAAGGTAGGAAGGGCCATTTCATTTGGTATTTTTTTCTCTGCATTTTTATTTCATCATATATGTGTGGATCTAATACAATCAACCATAATTTGACATTTGTTGTTTCTAAGCATTTAAGAAATTATAATATCTATGCATACACTGTTAACACTATGTATAATAAATTCTCTTTCTGTGCAAAATATATAACATATGTCAATGTAGGTATGTTTAATTGTGCATCTTGAAAGGTGAACAGGATCATAAATACTTTCAGGAACTGGGACAGAAATGGGAAGAAATGATTCCCCGATCTTCTGATCCCTGTGCTCCTGGTTCTTTGTTTTCTTGACACTATGACAGAATCCTGAAACTGTCTCCCCTTAACTGTGTCTAGGTCCTCAGTAGACTACAGCAAAAAACTTTTTATTGAGGCGCTAAGAAGCGGCAGGAAGGAGAAAACTGCTCAGTCAATAAGAGTCAGCCATGCCCAGCCAAGGGACATATAAAGGCAGGTCCAGCAGAACAACCCACAGTCCGCCTTTGGGCGTGTAAGAACAGCCTCCTTTTACTTGAGCGTCAACATGGGAAATGAATACCCTGATCTCCACTCCCCCTCCATCCAACGCCCCACTGACCAGCCCCCTTCCCCACAGGTCTTTACAGAAAAGGGCTCAGATGAGAAGAAACCATTCAAAGGAAAAGGCAAGATGGCTTCTTCCCATTCCAGTGAGAAGCACATACAAAGGTAAGGCCTCGGGCTGCTCCCATGGAGGCTGGAAGGAGGGTTGGAATCAGGGATACTGAGCCATGTGTCTTTAGTAGGGTTTTATTTTGAGATTTGGGGATGGGAAATGGCTTAGCGCCCTCAGGGGACTTTGAGAAATGTGTTCACTCGTGACGCTGGCAGAAGAGCTTCACATGAAAGACTGATCCGCAAAAACGCATCAGGGATAGACTATGGGACTCTGCCTAGGGAGAACTGAGTCACCTAAACTTCCTTTTGCAGCAGGATTGGAGCCCAATCCAAACAAGGAGGAGAATTCTGAGGAAACCAACCTCAAGGCTGGGGACAGCACTGCTGGATCCGGTAAGATTTGACTCTTTCCAGGCGAGAAGGGACAGGGCAGCAACACAGGCTCCCCTGGCAAGGAAACCCGGAGCGCCTTGGCAGCCAGGGCCGTATAGATCCTGGACACTGGAGAACAGAAGAGATCTGGGGTTTGGTGGCAACCTGAGCTCCTGTGTGTCCAGGATGGACTAGGAATTTCAGGGTGTTCAGTTGGAGGCACTTTCTCAAACTCTCATTGTATTCACAGAACCAGAGTCCAGCTCATATTGGGAAAACCGCAGGAAAAGAAAAATCAGTTCCAAGGACAGCTGCCAAGACAGAGCAGGTAGAATCTTGGTGTTTTTTCTTGTTGGTGGTAGTGGTGGTTTTTTTGTTTTTTATTTGCCCCAAAAGGCAAATTATCAGGAAAATTTCATATGAGACTTGAGCAGAAAGGCAGTTACTGACAAGTAAATTTTTGAGATCTTAGCACTCTGAGAATATTTGGGGACTCACAAGGGGTTCAGCCTCACTTCATTCCAGTGCTGAGATGGTCAGGAAGGAGTGGAAGAGACAAGTGGGGTTCACCTGGGTGCACAGGAGGTTCTGGAAATGAGGGTCTGTGGGGACTGCTCTGGCGAGTCTCTCACAAGCTTTCTCTGTAGGGAGCTGTCCAGAAGAGGAGTGCAGCTTGATGTTGGAAAAAAAAAAAAAAATCAAGATCCTCCACTGCTGTGCACAACAGTGAAATCCAGGAGACCTGTGATGCCCACCATAGGGGACATTCCAGGGCTTGCACAGCAAGCGGCACAGGTCTCGGGCCCTAGGAGTCCAAACACCATCACATCGAAAAAGCTTGATGACCTCTGTGCCAGCTATGTCTGAGGCTATTTATCAAGACCTAGCCCAGGTGCAGGCCCAGCAGATCAGTTCTCCACTAACCTGGGAGCGGCTGACACTGCTCACTGGGCTCCGGGGCCTCTGTGTGCCCAGGTGCAGACCTTGTATTCCACCGCCACCCAGGCAGCTTATGTCTCCCCTGCTGAGGGCTGGCTTGTCCCAGCCACACTGCCTGGTCCTGGGGATTCAGCCCTGGACAGAGAAGCCCATCCCTTCCCTGGGCAGGAGATAACTGAGCCTGTCAGTGGATCAGATGAGGCTGAGCTGGGAGCACCCTGATCCTGTTTCGCAGAGGATGCAGCTCTGGGAATGACAACAAGGATCTGCTACTTCTCAGATTCTTCCACATGACCAGCACTGACAACTGTCCGCGAAATTCCGGCCAGGTCTCCCCTCCATAGCTCTCTCGATACCTTCCGACAGCACCCTTCCCGCGGAAGCCCGAGGACGACGACGGCGAAGGAGACTCGTTTGGACCCGGAGCCAAAGGGAGGCCCTGCGAGCCTGCTTTGAGCGGAACCCGTACCCAGGCATCGCCACCAGAGAACAGCTGGCCCAGGACATCGGCATTCCAGAACCCAGGGTCCAGATCTGGTTTCAGAATGAGAGATCACGCCAGCTGAGGCAGCACCGGCGGGAATCTCGGCCCTGGCCCGGGAAACGCGGCCCGCAAGAAGGCAGGCGAAAGCGGACCGCCGTCACCCGGTCCCAGACCGCCCTGCTCCTGCGAGCCTTCCGGCAGGATCGCTTTCCAGGCATCGCCACCAAGGAAGAACTGGCCAGAGAGACGGGCCTCCCGGAGTCCCGCATTCAGATTTGGTTTCAGAACCCGAGGGCCAGGCATCTGGGCCAGGGTGGCAGGGCACCCGCGCACGCAGGCGGCCTGTGCAAGGCGGCCCCCCGCGGGTGTCCCCCCGCTCCCTCGTCAGTCGCCTTCACCCACCTCGGGGCGTGGGGAACGGGGCTTCCCGCACTCCACACGCCCTGCGCGCCGCCTGGGGCTCTCCCACGGGGGGGCTTTCGTGAGCCAGGGGACAGGGGCCCCTGCTCCAGCCCAGCCAGGCTGCGCAGGCAGCAGGAATCTCCGCACCTGCCCCTGCACTCGGGGCTTTGTGTTGGGTGCCCTGGCTCCTCTGGAAGTGGGACTGTCCCACCCTCCGGCTCCTCGATGGCCTCTGCACCCCAACAAATGCCAGAAAGACCAGGACCCGCAGCGCGGTGGCCTGCTGGGTGCGTGCTTGGTGGGACAGCCTAGGCCCGCTCGAGCTGAGTCACAGGACCAAGGTGTGCTTGAGCCACCCACGTCCCAGGGGAGTCGCTGGTGGGGCTGGAGCCCCAGGTCGCCGCAGGGCAGCTCCACCTCCGGAGCCCCAGACCCCAGAGGCCTCCGCGTGTCAGGCACAGATGCAAGCCATCCAGGCGCCCTCCCAACCGCTCCAAAAGCCTCAGCGCTACTCTGCACTCCCCTCCAGCCTGTTAGATGAGCTCCTGTCGCAGAGTTTCAGCAAAATGCACAACCTTTCCTAGATCCGGCGCCACTGGGGGAGATGAAGGACGTGGAAGAGCCCGCTCCGCTGGAATCACTCCTCAACCAGGAGGCACACCGGGCTCTGCTGGAGGAGCTTTAGGACGCGGGGTTGGGACGGGGTGGGGGCAGGGCGGCGGCCTCTCCTTCGTGGTGAACCTCTGGCTGGGTATGGAGAGGAGTCTCTTCCCTTCCAGCTGACCTGTCTAGGATCCTTGAGTTCCAGGTCCTGTGAGACTCCACACAGCGGAGGGCTGTCATTCTTCCCTGAGCATCCCGGGGATCCCAGAGCCCGCCAGGTACCGGGAGGAGGACTGTCTACTGTGCATGCGCAGGTCCATAGACAGCCGCCTAGGTTTTCCAACCAGCCCAGGCGGAGTTCTCATCCCTTTTTCCCCCGCGTTCTTCAGTGGAGTTGGCGGAGATCTCAGTCCGCGAAACACTGGGCCCGGGCAGAAGCCAGGCCAGTTCTCCTTTTCGCGGCTTGACTCCTGTGCCTCTTAGGTCCACCATCACTTTGCCAACCCTCGTCCTGCCAGCCTCTTCACCATCACCACGGAGCTCCTTGCAACTAAATGTAGATCCCAGATCCGGCGCAAACCGGCCTGCTGCCCTTTCCAGGCAAGAGGGAACGCAGGCAGAGATAAGGACAGGAACGAAAACAGAGTGGGACGGAAGGATGGAGCTAGGAAAGGATGGATGGACGGAGGGACCCTGGAAGGGAGAGAAAGAGGGAAGGAGGGAGAGAGGGAGGAAAAAACCAAGGGAGGGAGGGAAGAACAGAGGGAAGGATGGACCGAGGGACAAAAGGAGCAAGAAACAGAGAAAGGAAGGTAGAGAGAAAAACGGTCTTCTGCCTCCAGGACCAACAGGACCCAGCACTCCGGGAAAATGTTGGGTGCCCAGTGCGGGCTAAGTGCTCGGCCCACAGCCCCATTGACCGGCGGGGCGCTCAACGAATCGCCAGTCTGGGTTATTTCATCCTGGAGCAATTCAGACGATTTCCGTTTCCGAAGGAATGAGCGAACTTCCCAGAGGGCAATGAGGCTCTGGTGGTTGCACGTTTTTCATCCACATGGTTCACAGATGACAGAGCCCCACGTTGAGCTTGCAACAGAGCGCGAGGGGGACAGTCCTATCCACACAGGAGATGCACTCAGGCCGACTGAAGCGTGGTTTCGGGTTCCACGTTCCTTTGCCCTCTGCAGAGGGGCCTGTTGCTCACGTGTCTCCGGTCCCCAAAAGCGAGATCCTGTTGACTGTTTTCCGAGCTCTGTGGGGACCCAGAAACCTCCAGGGAAGCGTGGAAAAGCAGCACCGTGTCGGTGCTCTCCTTTCCAGTTTCCAAACCGGCCACAGCACAGACTCCCCACGTTGCAGGAAACAGGAATCCCTCGTCAGGCCGTGATGCACGGGACGTTTCTTTTCTCTGTGGTTTCGCTCTGGTTTTCTACATGAAAAGGAACGAGATCCACACACCTGCGAGTGTGAGACTATCAGGGCAAATGTGACACCCACGAGCTGGCAGTAGAGTCGGCAGCCTGAACCCTGGACAAAGGTACTGACGGACATCCAGACACACCCCACCACAATCCCAAACACACAGACACACAGGGGCGCAAGCGCGGTAACACAAGTACACACACAGACACACAGATACAGACAGCTTGAAGGAGAGCAAGGGACAGAGGGATGTAGAGATACAAGTGGAAGGAGAGAGAAACAGCGATAGAGAGACGGAGAGAGAAACAGCGATAGAGAGACAGAGAGAGGGATGGGGGGGAGAGAGAGAGAGAAAGGGGGAGAGGGAAGGAGAGAAAGGGAGAGGGTGAGGGAGCTGGAGAGCGACAGCGACAGAGCCTTGGAGGAGGCTCTGCTCGGGTAGACATCGTCCCTTTGAGCCGGCCAGGGTAGGGTGGAGGGTGCTTGGGCCGGGCTAGAACACGGGGGGGAGGGCCCCCCATGCGGGAAAATCAACGGAGCCCTGAGACGTGTTTTTTCTTGGATTCGTCGGTTGCTTTGGGGGTGCGTGTCACAGGGTCCTTCCTTTGTTGGCTTCTCCCTGCCCTCTTGCCGCGGTGGACCCCGAAATTTGTAGAGTGCGCCCGTCCGTCTGGCGGGAGCCGTTGCGCCGAGCGCGTCCATGGCCGGAGGCCTGGGTCTCTTTCGTGTCTTCGGGACTGCAGTTCACACGAAGTCGGTGGCAATGGGAAGCCGGGTGCACAGGGACGGATTTCCTCGTGGCGGGCGAAGACAATATCCTTCCCCCGGGAAAGCAGCCCGCCGGTTCTGGAGCGCAGGTCTTGGCTGGCGTCTGTGGGACCCGCTGCCCCTTCCCCGGCTTGGACAGTGGCGGCGGCGCTGGATGAATGTTTGAATTGCCCGGGCGTCCGGGGAGCGGGAGGACACCCGGGACCTCAGGGAACCCACGCCTGCGCCCTTCAGGGTCGGTCCCCTCCCGCCCGGGTTGGAGCTGGGCTCCTGGTGGGGCTGCAGCCGAGTGGAAGAGGTGGGATGCTGCTGCCTGGCGGTGCTGCAGTGGCGACCTTCAGGAGGAGGTCCTGGGCTGCCGCTGGGGCGCAGGGGCGGACAAGGGGGAGCAGAGTCAGGGGGTGGTTTGGAAGCACGGAGACAAAAGGGGGAAAGAGGGAGGGAGCCGAAAGCCAAAAGCCTAGGGTACCCGCTATTCCCAGGCGGAATCCCATCCAAGTACTAACCAGGCCCGACCCTGCTGAGCTTTACGAGATCAGAGGAGACCCGGCGCCTGCAGGGTGGTGCGGCATAGACGGCAGCAGCGGCGCCTGGCTGCCCCAAGCGCCCGGCCCAGCCACGCCCGCACGACTCCAGGCGTCACCGCCACCCTGGGGCCGCAGGGCTCGGATCCGGGACGCCCGAGCCGCTCGCCCGTGCCCCAGGCAGCTGTCTCTCTCCACGCCCGGCAGCCGCGCTGCGTCTTCCGCCGGCCTCCCGGAGCGTCCCGCCGTCGCAGGCGCCCAGGCCACGCGCAGGACCAATGTGGCGCCGCCCTGCTGTTGCTGGGGGGCGCCTGCGGCCTCCGTCCCCCGCTCAGGCTTCCGGCTCTGGGCTCTCGCGGCGGCCTCCCTTCCGCCCACGCTCCGGGCCTTCCCCTGGCTCCTGAGCTCCGGAGCTTCCACCACATCCGGCCGGCTCAGGACGGATGGGCTCATCCCTTCCCTTTTTAACTTTTTGTTGTTTCCATTTATATTTATTGTGCTATGTCTTGAAATGTTGTAGTTATTCCTTTTGGTTGGATATTATTTAGCATTCCTACTTTGAATAAGAGTAGTTTACACACCACACAGCTATAATGTTATAATATTCTGCTTTGTTTTGTATACTATTAGCAGTGAGGATTTTTTTTTACCTTTGGATGATCACTGATTGCTCGTTAATGTCCTTTTCTTCCTGATTGAAGTACTCCCTTTAGCGTTCCTTGTAGGACAGGTGTGGTATTCATGAAATACTTCAGCTTTTGTTTGTCTGGAAAAGTCAGTATTTCTCTGTATTTGAAGAACATTTTCGCTGTATGTGCTATTCTAAGGTAAAAGTTTGTTTCCTTTAGTACTTTAAATATTTTTTGCTTCTCTCTCCTGGCCGGTGGGGTTTCCACTGCAAAGTCTGCTGCCAGACGTGTTGGAGCTCCCCTGTATGTTATTTGTTTCTTTTCTCTTTCTTCCTTTAGAACTTTTCTTTATCTTTGACTTTTGGAAGATCGATTATTGTAGTAGTCTTTTTTGGGTTAAATCTGCTTCATGTTCTATAACATTTTTGTAGTCGGATATGGATATCTTTCTCTAGGTTTGGAAAGTTCTCTGTTATCATCCCTTTGAATAAATTTTTCTATCCCTCCCTCTTTCTCTACATCTTCTTTAAAACCAGTAACTCTTAGATCTGTCTTTGTCAGGCTATTTTCTAGATCCTGTAGGCATGATTCGTTGTTTTTATTCTTTTTTTTGTTTGTTTCTTCTACGTATTTTCAAATAGCCTGTCTTCAAGCTCACTATTTCTTCTGCTTGATCCATTCTGCTATTAAATGGCTCTACTGCATTCTTCAGCATGCCAATTGCATTTTTCAGCTCCAGAATTTCTGCTTAATTTATTGTAACTATTTTAATCTCTTTGTTGAGTTTAGCTGTTAAAATTAGGAATTTCTTTACTCTGTTATCTTAAATTTCTCTCAGTTTTTTTTTTTTTTTTTTAATACAGATATTTTGAATTCTCTGTCTGAAAGGTCACATATTTCTTTTTCTCCAGGATTTGTCCCTGGTGCCTTATTTAGTTCAC